ACACACACACACACACACACACACACACATTTGTTTTTCAGGTGGGCCTCTTCCATTGAGGTCCCAAATCTAGCAGGATTGCCTAGAGCTATAAAAGGCACATCTGTCTGAACCGTGTCTTCTAATTTTTACAGAGAACTTGCAAAGTTATTTATTTACAAACAAGCGTCTTTCCCCGAATCTCTACTGGGGTTGTGGAGTGGAGAAGATGCTGGAGTAAGAGGAGAGAGACCAATTTTCTGTCTTGCACCAGCCAAAGAAGCTTCTGGGAGGACTTGGGGCCACCACCACCCACTTCTCTCGGCCCAAGAGCCTGGTGATCTTGTGGGGATGGTCTTCAAATAGGAATGGGGGGCTTGCATGTTCCAGTGCCCCTTCAACCTTAAGACCTGCTTGGGACTAATTTCTGCCATTTCGGGGGGAGTTTATAAGGGGGGGGGAATAGGACTAGGGAATGCCACACAACATGCCATCTCAGGTGCCTGTGAAAAGTAGGCTACAAATGTATTAATTAAAACGAAGCCGATGTACGACATTACCCACAAATGGTCAGAGGTGGAAGAAGCTGGGTTTGCCCATAATTAGCATGCCTCTGATCTTACTAAATGCAACTTCACAGGCATGACTTTCAATTAAATTTTATCACAGCCTTTGCAGTGATCCTTTCTGAAAGGTGGCAGGGAATGCTTCTCCTTGCTTCTCCTCCAAGAAGCTTCTTCAGTGAAAATGTGAAGGAATCGAAGAACTGAAGAAGCTTCTTGGAGGAGAAGCGAAATGTTTTTTCCCAAACCAAGAAAATCCAGTTGCCTTTGGGTGAAAAAGCACCAACCATGACCTGGATGATTGAAAATCTCGGTAGAGGCTCTTCAAGGTCGATTTGATTGGCTCTCCTGCCACCTCAGATTAACAGAGTTGGAAAGAGCCTCGTAGGTCACCTGGTCCAGCTGAAGACCTAAAACAAATAGATCATTGATGACTGCAAGATAATCTCTAGGAAGATTCCTCTGGGTGACCATGGGGAAGGGTAGGATTGAGAGGGAGTCCTTCAGCTTGATTATTTTCTGGCAGACGTTTCATAATCCTCCCCAGTAATATCATCATTGTGAAAAGGGACTGTAGCACTCCCTTCCTTCTACCACTAATGAAGTCACCTAGTTGGGTCTTGAAACATCTGCAAGAAAACCACGAAACTCAGAGAGTTCCAAGGACTCCACAGAAAGAGAAACCAGGATAAACAGGGATTAGCACCAGAGAACCAGCTAAGGAGAAAACATTACCCAATCAAGGGACTGCCAAGGAAGGAAGGAAGGAAGGAAGGAAGGAAGGAAGGAAGGAAGGAAGGAAGGAAGGAAGG